AGCTTTGTTTGGTGAGCTTTCCAGAGCAGGGATGGCAAATCAATTTCGACTTCAGGACCAGCTCCAGTGATTGGCAGGGGCCGCTCAGAGAGCTGTCCTGGGAAGGATTCTGAGGTCAGGTCCAGGCCCAGAGGGAAGTGCAGCAACTGACTAACAACGTGAATGGAGGGTGAAATAGTGGCACCCAAGCCACACTGACACAGCTCCGCAGGCCAGGATGAGGGAAGAGCGAGGGATGTGCAGAAAATTTAAAACTGGTCAAAGCGAAGTAATCACTTCCTTTGTGCAGGCAAGTTATTAGACTGAGGCATCTGTGGCATGAGGGGCTGGGTTTAGCATATGGATTGGGGTTCAGTCCCAGTTCTCCGACTGGGACTGGATATCCCCCTGTATATCTGGTGGCTCGGGGTGAGGGAATGGGAGTTAGTACCTATGAAGTAATAGCGCTGTGCCAGGAAATGCTAAGTGCTTTGTCTACATCACAGTATTTCATTAACTCCTCCAAGCCTGTTTCCTCAGGTATGAAATGGAAATAACATCATCAGTGTGCTGTGTGGATTAAATAAGGTAACAGGGGTGAAAGTTCACTGTACACTGGAAACTGTTATAGAACTAGCGTATTAGTGCAATGCCGATTCGCATTCAAGGCATAAGATAGTAGTTAGCCATCAGACTCGGCCTCAGACAGACTTGGGTTCTGATTCTGGCTTCATTACTTACTAGATTCTTCCCTACACCCCAGTTTCCTCAGATGAAATATGGAGATAATATCAGCACTAGCTAATAAGAGTGCTACAATCACAGGAGACAAAGCATGTAAGAGAGTGATCAGCAAATGCTCGGCACATAGTAAGCCCTTCATAAACCATAACTGCTTTAAAAAATTATAATTCTTCTTGTGAATACTCTTTACAAAGAATAGATCTTTGCCATAGATTTCATTAATAGACACCCCAAAAAGTCTGGCGGAAAACTGGTTTAAGTTTGGGTCCTGCAGATCAAAGTTTGACTCTCTCATCCCGACAGCAGAAATCAGCGGCAGGTGGTAACAGTGGAGCAGCGGCCACCACTGCCCTCAGAAGACAAGAGCTGAGCTGGCACCTGGGCTGGGAACCCCGGCCCCTGCTGTGTGAGGACCGCGGAGGCCGAGTGGCCGGTGGTTTTCTGTGGCCTCGGCAGCATGGCTGGGTGAATGCGCACACAGACACTACACTTAGGAACCTGCCACAGGGGGCGAGTGAACCTCTGCTCTGACTGACAGGGCGGGCAAGCGGAGGCGGCCATCCATCACTGTCAGGAAAGATCTGAAGCACCTCGCTAGTCAGTTGAAATAAAATAAATTATTTACTGATCTCAGGGTCCAGATGCTCACTTGAATGCTCATAAAGGGTGTGCTGTTTACTCTGTGGTGGATTCTGTTTCAGGAAGGAAGGATTTCTGGATCTCTGTGTGCAGGTGTTTGTTGTTGTCAGAATGAAAGGGTGTTATTATCTGCTTTGCAAGGAGGGAGACAGGGTCTTAAGTTACATATCTGAACTCGTACATGGGAATAGGAAATGAGCGTATTTATTCACTTCATGGTACAGGACTCAGGGCACAGTTTATCTGTCAAAAAATTTCTTAGGACTAATTAATGCAGTTTCTACTTATAATGCTAAAGATTGAACTTAAATGCATAACAGAAGCATTCTGACACGTTTTAGAAGCATCTCAGAGCTGTGATGTTCCACCAGAGGGAGCCATGTGCACCACTGGAAGCATCCAGAGGCGGCTGGGACCTGGCCTCTAGTCACTTCTTTTCTGAGAACCTCTGCTCTAGGGAGAGATGCTTGTATCACTGTCAGCCATTTCTACCTGAGACGTCTCCACTGTGGCTACAATATAGCCACTACCTAATCTGAGTGATCTGGTTACATGTTTTCAAGATGGTGGAATAGAAGAGAAAGTAATAAGCAAAATAAATATGTCTGACAATAATAACGCTAAGATAAGCTACCACTGAGAATACAGCGTCTATGGGCCACTTTCATACAATCTTGAAAGGTAAATGTAACTCCCATTTTTTAAATGACAAGAATTAAGATTAACCAGGGGAGGGACTTGTCCAAGGTGACCCTGCAGGTAGGTAGTAATGCTGGGATTCACACCCAGTCCCGACTGCAAAACGAGGCTCTTCTCACAGATCCTTTTCTGGACCTTTTCCTTTATACTACTTTTTTTTTTTTTTAAATTTTAAAAGAGAGAGGAACATCGATTTGTTGCTCCACTTATTTCTGCATTAATTGGTTGATTCTTGTATGTGCCCTGACCGGGGATTGAACCCACAACCTTGGTGTATCGGGACAATGCTAAAACCAACTGAAATACCCTGCCAGGGTCCCTGGACCTTTTCCTTTAAATAAATATTCAGGTCGGAATCTGATGAATTAAAGTTTGGCTTTTTGCCTTGAGAAAAAATTAGGGGAAGAAGCCCAGAAACCAGTTTGCACTCCTTTTCACTTTGGGGGTCAGTGGATTTGCTGATTATGCTCACCTGGGAAAACCCCTGCCTTCTCTCCTGGACCTTTATCTTGGCTGCACTCTGGCTATTTATTGAGCTTCTTAAAACTAAACCCACTCAGAGAAAACAGACCCTTTGTTACTGGGAAGGCACTGCATTCAGGCACACGCAAACTGGATGTCAGAGTAGCATCCTTACTTTAGTAAACTTTTCACTGAAAACATACCAACCGAAAGTACATAAATCATAAGAGTATGTATGCTTGACTTTTCCACAAAGTCTACAGACTCATGTAATCAGCACCCAGATAAGGCACAGAACTTTATCAGTGTCTCAGAAGCCCCTTCAGTCTGGGCTCCCAGGATAACCACCATCATTACTTCCACACAGATTATTTTGGTGTATTTTTGAATGCTATATAAATGGAATCATACAGTCTGTACTTTTGCCCCCCTTTCTGGACCTGGTTTCTTTTTGAGCAGTCTTTTATTTTTATTTCTAGGAGACATATCAGCAAAAGCATCCCCAGGAAGAACACCCCTGAAGAAACTTTATGTTTTAAGAATCAACATTAAATAAGCATTTTTTTTTTATTTTTTTTTACCACTTTAGAGATTTAGTTTTTTGTGTGAGGAATAAACAGTCTAGAGAGGGGGAAGAAGAGTAGATTCTTTGTTTTGGTTCAAAGTTACTGGGTGCTAATTCATGTACTGAGTTTATTTTGGAATCACCATCATCTCAGCAGCTGATGTTCACTGAGCACTTGCCTTGCTAAGTATTCTGCATGTGCTATTACATTCCATCCCCACAATTACCCCATCTATGAGGGACTATTAGCTTCATTTTACAAATGTGGAGACGGAGATTCTGAGTCATCTGCCTGTGATATTACAGCTAATTATCGAGCCAAGGTTTGGACCCAGGCCTCTAAGTCCTGAGTCTGTCCTCTGAGTGCTTCCCCATGTTGCTCCTCCACCAACAGTCCTCACCTTCAGACTTTAGCAGCCGCCAGGCCCTGTGCTCAGGGCTTTATGTGGACCGCTGGCTTGTTCCACGGCGGAAGCTGGTACCACTAACACTCCCACTTAAGCAGAATGGAACTGAGCTCGGAAAGATGAAGACACTTGCCTAACATGGCTGGTTACTGATGGAGCCACAACTTAAACCAGCTGTGATCCTGACGCTCATCTTTTAGTTACTAAGCTGTACTGTCAGCATATTTCAGGGGTGGGCAAACTTTTTGACTCGAGGGCCACAATGGGTTCTTAAACTGGACCGGAGGGCCGGAACAAAAGCATGGATGGAGTGTTTGTGTGAACTAATATAAATTCAAAGTAAACATCATTACATAAAAGGGTACGGTCTTTTTTTTTTTTTAGTTTTATTCATTTCAAATGGGCGTAGTTTGCCCGCGGCTGGCATATTTCAAGCTCCTGTCAGTCAAGTTGAGAAGAAATTATTAAGATATTTTTCAGGCTTTATTACAATTAGCCAGACTAATGCCAACATTAGAAAAGATTTTATGATAAGACACATACAAAGCATTTATGAGAATCGTAAGTCGTGAGCCTTCGAGTTAGACTCCAAGCCTTCTTCCTTTATGCATGAAGCGAACGAGGCCCAGGCAGGGGCAGTGTGGCAAAGTTCAGTGGCAGTCCAGCTCTCTGACTAAGCCAGGCATCCACCCAGGCTCCCCCTCCTCCCACCTGTTAGGGAGCAGGTGCACTCACATTGGCCAGACCAGGGTTCTGTTCCTGACACCACCAACCTACCTGCTGTGCGAGCTTGAGCGTAAGCCTTCACCTCTCTGCCCCTTATCTACCTTCTCTGTTAGACGGGGACGGTAAACGCACTCTTTTCTGGGTGGTTAAGTAGCGCACGTGAAGCACTTAGCACAGGGCCTAGTACACAGCAGATACCTGCACATGACAGCCATGACGACAGTGAGGTATTAATATTCTGTTGACTGCTGTGACACTTTTTCTACTCCGGTTAGGTTTAAGTCAAAACAGAAATTTAGATTGGAACACATTAACACCAAATATTAGTTGGAAGTTAGTTCCGAATTATCTGGTGAGAATCCAAATACAACTTCTGAGATCACTGTAAAGCTTCCCGAATAAGTAAGTGCATGAGTGACGAGGCAATGAATCCACGGAGAAGGAAAAGGCAGGCGGCAGTGCTACCAGCAGTCTCAGCATGGCAAGTAAGAGAATTACAGAATGAGAAGAATTATGGAACCTCGCAGAAGTCAATCGGTTTGAAAAGAGTCTCAAGTTAGTTCTATTTCTAATCTTCTGCTTCATAAAAAAGAAGACAAGACAGAGCACTCGGCTGGGGAAAAGGAGGTACTTTAAATTTCACTGTTTAAACATTTTCTCTGAAAACAAATTACCGTCGGTCATTCAGGTCACATGAAAGTTGTATGTTGTTTCTTTCCCCATCTCTACACTGACCACTGACATAAAGGGTTCACTTCATCACCTGTTCATGCACTTACCTAACTGTACGTCGGTTGTGAATCGCAGTCTGTGGATCATGCTGACTTTGAATGACTTGTAATGGTGGCTGCTAAGCATATCCTGTACTGTAGCTATGTCAATTTGCGAATCCTCCTCACAAACCCCGTCTGCCCTTGAACCTGGGGAGGAAAAAGCAGTTTAACACATAAAGATACATGAGGCTTGGCAAATGTTGTCTGCTTAAAATGCTTTGGGATAAATTAAAATAATATGGGCTATTTAATTTGGAGAAGAAAAGGCTGAGCAATGACTTAATAATGCCATTCCAGTAAACAGAGAACGGTAACATATTAATCACTCAACAATTAATTCCACAAACACGGCCTCTTCTGTGGCAGGCCCTGGGCCAGGCAGCGGGGGTACTGAAGGCGAGAAACACTCCTGCTCACCAGCGGCTCTGTCTCCACAAGAGAAAGTCAAAACCACAAAGCATGGGTGGTCACATGTCTCGTTTCTTTTTCTCATATTAATTTTCCCGATCATAAAAGTAATCCATACTTCTTGAAGAATCCCGTTCTTTCTGAGATTCTCAAATATCACCTTGCCGTCCTGCGCCCCCGTCTGCGTGGATGCAGGCACGAGCCAGCTCACCCGCGACGGCTGGAACAGTCTCCCACTGGCCTTCTGGCCACCAGGCTCCCTCTGCAATCCAGCCACCACAGGGCTTTCCCATTCATCTTTCTAAGGCTTTGATCATTTATTCACTCATCAAATGTTTAGTGAGAGCTCTGTGCATGCTAAGTACTCTGATATGTGACACTGGCGACAAGTAAGACAACTGGTACTGAAAAATCGTCCCTGGCTTCCCATGGCTTCCTGAATGATGCACACTTTTTTCAGCCAAGTAGTCAAGACTGTCCATAATCTGGCTGAAACAAACATTTTCAATTTTGCTTGTCACTTCTCACATATACCTTCTCTCAGCAACTCCCAGACTCCCCAGACTGCACACAGATGCAAGTTTTTCTACTTCTGGGCCTTTGCTCATGTGGTACCCTTGGCCTAGAACACCCTTTCCGCCCCTTACCCTGCACCTGTCAAGACCCCACCCAGGCAGGCTAGCCCAAACTCCACCTTCTGCTGAATTCCATTCCTACTGGACCCTGGAGCCAGGGAGACCTGGGCTCAGTTCCTAGCTCTGCCTCTAACTAGCTGCATGATCTATGGCAAGCGACCGGCTCTCTGAACCCCCGTCTTTGCCATACACAGAATGTCAAAATGTGTTTTAAAAATCTAACACATACTATGCTTAATAAGTAGCAGTCATGATTATTATTTTTTATATTTTTTTTATTGATTTCAGAGAAGAAGGTAGAAGGAGAGAGAGAGAAACATCAATGATGAGAGACAATCATTGATTGGTTGCCTCCTGCACACCCCCTAAAGGGGATCGAGCCCACAGCCCGGGCATGTGCCCTTGACTGGAATCAAACCTGGGACCCTTCAGTCTGCAGTCTGACGCTCTGTCCACTGAGCCAAACCAGCTAGGGCAGTCACGATGATTTTTATTCTACTGTCATAGAGGATCACTTTCAGCCTGGCACTGGAGTTGCTGAGTGGTTGCTCTTGTCCTAATTCAGAAGCTTTGTGAGGGCCAGTAAAGTTTGTTTATCTCTGTATCTTCTCCTGTAAGCCGTACAGGCAACTGGCATGCTCTCACTAAATTCTGCTAAATAAATAGATAACCAAACAGAAGCTAGGACATATGAGTGCTTGCTACACAGCAGGCATGGTGAAGTGCTTTTACACATGCGAAACCTCATGACAACTGGCTGTCATTGCTCATCTGAGGCTTTGGGAATCTGAGGCTTTCGAGGTGAAGTCACATGTCCAAGGTCACACTCACCAAAGCTAAACTCTCTCACCCTGCAGTTTGAAATGAGCTGTCCTGAAGGTGCAGCTGCTGGTGCCACTCACCAGTGGGAGGGAGCACCTGCTAGCAGAGGCCAGCCAGCCTTGGGCTGAGCAGCTAGAGATGGGTCCACAGGAAGAGCCAGAGAGAACTCCTTGGACAGAGTTGGAGTAGCTACAAACTCAAGATTTGGGTACAAAACAGGAACGTCTGTTACATAACTGGTAGCCTGACAACTACACGCTTTTCCTTCCCACAGTATTGCTTACAGGATGAGCTTTATTTTTTAATCCTCAACCGAGGATGTATTTTTGAGAGGAAAAGAGAGAAAAACATTGATTGGTTGCCTCCCATCCATGCCCTGACCAGGGATCAAACCCACAACGTAGGTATGTGCCCTGACCGGGAAATGAACCCATCGCCTTTTTGGTGTACGGGAACAACGCACCAACCAACCGAGCCGCCTGGCCAGAGCGACAGGGCAAGCTTTTAAGTCAAGGCTGCTTCCTGACGCCTCCCCGAACTCCTGCATTAGGAGGTGTGTACTGGCTCCAAACACTGCACTTATTCCCAGCGTGGCCCACTCCAGCCCCTACAATAAGGCTTCCTCTCAGTGAGGACAAAGCCTCGCCCTCAGTGGCCGTTCACTGCCCGCCTGTGACACAGTCCCGCCTCAGTGTTGGCGCATGTTGCTCTCTCTGCCCAGGTCACCCATCTCCTATTTTACTCCCTCCTGGCCTATTCCTCCAGGCTCCTCCCTATTCTTCCTGAAGCGCTTAGCTCAGGTGACACCCAGGGAACTGTTCCCTGACCCCAGGCCCCCAAGTCTAGTCCAGCTCCCCTGTCAGTGCACCCCACATTTTCCTCAGAATACTTATCACAGAGAGTAATTACCTGTCTCTGCCATTCGACTGTAACCCCAAGAGGGCAGGCATGATGGCTGCTTTACTCGCCCCTGTAGCCCGGACCCTGCCAGTGTTGCCATGCACAGGATAAAGCAAGTGCTCAATAAAAACGTACTGGATGAGTACCAGGGGCCAGGTCCACAGGAAGGTGAGGATCAGAGAGGCAGAGGGGCTTAACCAACGTCACATGGCTAGGATCAGCAGAGCCGCACTCAGCGTCTGCCAGGGCCACACGAGCCCTGCTTCCCTTCTGTGGGCGCCTGTGATTCTGGATAGAGACGCCACCGCCATGCCCACCCGTCCCCTGGGGACTGTCCACATCTCTAACGGAGGCTGGTGAGAATTTAGAGTTTTGAATAATCACTCGCTTTCTCCAATGCATATCTGACTGAAACAGAACTGCCAAGATGTGTTTATTTCTACTCTAGAACCTTTTATACATATGAGAACTGTGGAGAAGTTTGGTGAAATATTGAAATCCTTTCATGTTTTAAAAATAATTTCAGGCTTTTTTGAGAAAACGCCATTATTAGGTATAACTTAGTTCAAGAATTTCTGTTTTCTTTATTAATTAGTATTTTCTAAATATTGAAGGTTCTTGATTTGGAAAGAGATAACAGCTCATTATACAAAAATGGCAATTACTAAAAAAACCCCCACCAAAACAACACACCACACTTAAGAGTTTTACATTTTTATGATGTTGGATTAAAACCAATTTAAAAATTACTATAACGTGACATATAATTTTTTACTGAGCAATTTCAATGCCAGCTGCTAATAAAGCATCTTAGCTGTAAATGATAATTCAGATGCTTTTAGATAAAGTGGTGCATAAATATAGTTGGAAATTGATTTAGCTTCTTACAGAAGCTACTGAAGAATGACATATTTTGTTTAATACACCAGCTAATGTAGTCCTAAAAGCTCAAACAAGTGCCAGTTTTCACTCCTAAATTTGCTGTGGGAGATTAATGAAAACTTTATATTTTGCTGAAATGTTAATAATGGGCAGATGAGACGATAGGATTTTAGTGGAGGTCTTAAAGCTATGGAATAACCAGCAAGGCTTGTCAATGTCCTTATATTAATTTTGTTCAAGACTGATATAGCTGGAGCTGGCTCCACACACTAATGCTTCTTGCATTGACCTTCTACTCTCCGACAGTGTAAATTCAAGTCCCATGTGAGGATTTAGGTCCCCCGATACTTGGGTGAGCTCTGAGTCTTGCCCCAGCTGACAAGGGGCATGTTTGCTTTCATGATTAGAGGGCAACAGCACCTGGGGGAGCAGAGAAGGAAGAAACAGCCCTGCTCGTGCTTCCAATACATGCTGCTCACGCCAAAGCAGGTCACCTGCTGAATGGAACGACTTCTGGTCTCGGAGTTCCAGAGCCCTTTCTCCATGCAGGTTCAGGAGTGCTGCCTGGAGGGGAGGTGTGTGTGTACGGACCAGCCAGCCTGCGACCTGCCCCCCCCCTCCCCCGCCAGGCCAGCTGTGCGCTAGACTGCGGAGGAACGCTGGTGAGGGTAAGGCCGGGTTCCTGCTCTTCAGGAGCGTACAGACTTGCTATGGAACATACAGAAAACAGTACAGGGCAGAGAGAAATGCCCAACAACCGGCTCAGGCAGCAGACCCTCTCTAAAGACAAACACCCGAAGCAGGTCCTTACCCAAAAACATGTTTTCCGGACCAGAAAAGTCTAAGACCTTCACTGTTTACATCCTTCCAGGAAGGAGCAAACCCAGCCACACGGGAAATATCCTCGGCACTGCCCCATGTGCACATTAAAATCATTACTGTGCTATCAGCTTCACATTCAAAAACCCAGTCCTGTTCAAGAGAAGGCATTTTTATCTACTCAACGTAAAAACTAGAGAGAACCAGAATGTCTTAAAAATAAATATATTAACAAAAAAACACTCCCCAAACTGTTAATTTAATTGAAATATAACCAACCCTTTGGTATTTTGTTAAATTAGCAATTAAAAAGGTCACAAGCAATTAAATGAAACAAAAGCCACACTGTGTTCATCTACATTAATGCCGAACTGGGGCTCCTGGTGAATGACAAGATGAATTGTAATGGTGCCTTCAAAGACTTCATGATGTACTTTGTCAAAGTCGGGAGTCTTAATGTCTCTATGTGCCATGGATTACCATAATGTATTGTGTCAAAACGCTCGAGCTGCAATAACTCAAAGATGTATTGTGATAGATCAAATTTTGGGGCGGGGCCTAAACGTGACTCAAGCACCAGACCTCAAATGGTCTGACAACAGGCTCCGGAAGAATGACGGAGAGTCCATTCACAACGTGGAATGGTGCAAGGGATAGCAGAAACCCGAGACGAAGAAGCTT